CCGATTGTTTGAAATCAACAGTGATGGAATCACTGCTAAATGACAACTCTGACTTTAACTGATATGACAACACCATTCCTGTATTGCATCAGTTCGGACTCCCATTGTCTAATATAGTATAAGTTGATTTCCTCCTAGGATAAAGAACCTTATCCGAGAGAGAAACAGACCCAGACGAGTTTACCAGCGGACCCTCTATCCTGGGGACAAGACTGCTGCTAACAGGATGGCCAACGAAGTCAAACGGGCCATCATTGATTACAGAAACGAGAGGTGGAGTGAGTGTTTGGAATCTCTTGAACCTGGGGATGATGAGCTATGGCGAGTCACCCGCAGGCTCGAGAAGAAGAAAACCGCTCCCTCCCCTCTTCACGGACAGCGAGGTATCTGCTACTCCCCCGCCGAGAAGGCGCTGGCCTTTGCAGATACAATGGAAAATCAGTTCCAACTTAACGTTGATCCGGACGATGATATTGACCGTGATATCCGGCTGGAACAACGAGTTCAGCGTATCCTCAGGGAGAATGACGACGACGTGATCCGTCCAGCTTCGGAGGAAGAACTGAGGGGGTATATCAGAGCCGCCAAACCAAAAAAGGCTCCGGGAATTGATTCAATCAACAATAGGTTGTTGAAGCAGCTCCCGGAGAACTTTATCAGATACTTATTAGAATAATAAATAGCTCAATCGCCCTCAGATACTTCCCTCGAAGATGGAAGCATGCCGTAGTTGTCATGATTCCGAAACAGGGCCAGAACCCGTTGTTTCCCCAGAATCACCGACCGATTAGTCTGCCTTGCTCAGCGGCTAAGCTGGCTGAACGTGTTGTGCTGCAAAGGCTAACCGAAGAAGTTGAAGACCGAAATGTTCTGCCTGACGAACAATTCGGTTTCAGGAGGGCACACTCCACCGAGCTGCAGGCCTTGAGACTGGTCGAAAACTCCATCTCAGAGCTAAATAACAGGAAGACGGTACATCTGGTCCTCCTGGATATTTCAAAAGCCTTCGACCGTGTATGGCACGAAGGCTTACTTCATAAAATACTCGATTTCGACCTGCCTCGGGGCCTGATCCGGTGGATTAGGTCCTTCCTGAAAGGCATCATTTCAGGTCCGAGTTGAAGGAACCCTGTCTCCGGTCAGGGAAATCCAAGCTGGAGTGCCTCAAGGAGCTGTGCTGTCTCCACTACTGTACAGCCTTTACGTGAGCGACCTTCCGAGGTTTGAACACGTGAGGACTTCCCTATACGCCGATGATACGCCTCTCCTCGCTTCTTCCATGGGACGGGGGTTGGCGGTCGTCTATATGCAACGCGCATTGGACGACCTCGAACGCTGGTACCTACAGTGGAAGATTCGGGTGAACCCAGACAAAACTCAAGCGATAGATTTGGGGAGGCGCAACGTTTCTCCAGACACATGAGTCACGATCTCAGGCAGGGAGATCGAATGGCAAACGCGAGTCAAATACCTAGGTCTTTGGATAGATCGCCGACTCACCTGGGCAAATCACATTGATTACATCAAAGACAAGATGCAAATGAGGATAGCTAAACTCTATCCTCTGATAAACCGCAAGTCGAAGTTAAGTCTTAAAAACAAGATTTTATTATACAACACGATGTTCAAGCCTGTCATTATGTATGCTTCAGGCGCTTGGGGACAAACCGCCCCGACAAATCTCTCCACTCTGGAGAGATTGCAAAACAAAATCATTAGGATGCTGGTGAATGCTCCATGGTTCGTGCGGAATGAAGCCATCCGCAGAGATTTGAAGCTGTTAACCATACAGCAGTCCATTCAGTTGAGGAATCAGAGAGTTTTCGAGTCAGCGGAAACTCATGATAACCCATTAGTTAGGGAAGCTGTAGATTACACTATAGACGACCCCACTCGATTCAGAAGGCCCCGTCGCTCAGTTGAGTGAAGGCCCCACGACGTCTGTTGAAATGAACAGTTTGTTCATCAATACCCCAGTCAGGTAGGGGTACACAAGGCCAGAGCGGCATAGATGTCATTGACCTCTATGTCGTTAACAACACACTGAGACTTGAACCACTCGCCCCCATGGCGAAAGACAGTTTAAAGGGTACGGGAAGAGATTTTCAACCTGACACAAATCAAGATGGTTTCGATAAACATAATGAAGAATAAACATACTTACCTGGCGTGCCTGACGTCACAGCCAAGCCCAGCTCTAAGCTGGACGCGTTAACAGAAGTCGTTACGAACAAGCAGCGGTCGTTCCGCTGCCGTTTGGAGGTCAGTTCTCGCCGCTTGCGCGTCACCATCGACAGCGAGAGAAGAGCGATGCGTTACGTCAATGTCATCTCCGTATCGAGAGAGTTAAGAAAACCGATGAATACGCATTACTCAGCCACACGCCGTGGAGTGAACATCTCATTCTCCTACCGTTAAACGATTGCTGCTGTGACGTCACACCACTAACTTGATGGGCTCACACTGATGGAACATTCATTACTTGGACGATCTTTGAAGTATGCAGACGTACTAACTTGGCGGGCTCACACCGATAGAACATTCATTACTTGGTGGATCTTTGAAGTATACAGACGTATGTCTGTATTTCAATGTTAAAAGTGTAGTATGCAGATGTACTAACTTGGTGGGCTCATACCGATGGAACATTCATTACTCAGTGGATCTTTGAAAGAGAGGGCGTTACCAACTTTTTTCCAAACGGAAAGGGAAATTTTAAAAATTGTTTCAATTGTCTATTCAACACTGTATTACTTTTGGAATTTCGAATTAGCCATTTCTGTGTAATCAGCAGTTTCACATTCATTTAATGACAATGCAAACAAAATTTTGGAAGAAATATACTCAAGACGAATTCATCTCGATGCGCTCTCACATACTGAATGATGGCGTTCACGATCACAACTCGTTATGCAGACGTGTGTTTATTCTGTACAAACTAGTACAGAGTACACATGAACGATAATGTCAAATCCTAACTTTACCGTGTATGTCAAACCCAAAACACTACTTCAAAGTCGCCTTGTCCGCATGTAAAGACTTCTTCAAAGTCACCTTGTCGACATCGTGTGACGTATATTGATGTCATTTCAAAATTGAAAGTGTCTTGCGACCTCCCCACCTCGATGTGTTGACAGATGGTGATACGAGCAAGCAGTGGTCGTTGGAACTTCAGGGAGTGTAGACGTGTGCACTCTCTATCACGATAGGTACCATCCAAACTGATTAGAAAGGAGCACTAGTCAATGGATATTCGTGGTATGCAGACGTGTGTTTATTCTGTACAAACTGGTACAGGGTAATGTACACATGTCAAATCCTAACATTATCATGTATGTCAAACCCACTACTTCAAAGTCGTCTTGTCTGAGTGTAAAGACTTCTTCAAAGTCACCTTGTCGACATCGTGTGACGTATGTAGAGATAATTTCAATGTTGAAAGTGTAGTATGTAGACGTACTAACTTGGTGGGCTCACACCGATGGAACATTCATTACTTGGTGGATCTTTGAAGTATGCAGAGGTATGTTTGTACATTAACAAGCACTTGATGAAACCCTGTACCGTGCATTCTCACACACACCCACCAACACACACACACACACACACACACACACACACACACACACACACACACACACACACACACACACACACACACACACACACACACAAAAACCAACCAAATGTAATTACGTCATTATGTCACACACACACACACAATCTCATATGAAAGAAAATTCTGAATGATCCATGCAACAGACACTTCAAGGTCACATCGCCTTGATGTTACTAAACAACAAAAAAAGCAATTAATACGTCATAGTAGTGGGGGGAGTAACACAGTCCTTGGCCGCCTGCGTGTCACCATCTACAGCGAGGCTAGAGCGATGCGTTACCGCATCGAGAGAGGTGAGGGCACACCGATGAATACGCATTACTCAGCCACACGCCGTGGAGTGAACATATCGCTCTCTTACCGTTGAACGGTTGCTGCTGTGACGTCACACCACTACTAACTTGATGGGCTCACACCGATGGAACATTCATTACTTGAAGGATCTTCGAAGTATGCAGACGCATGTTTGTACATAGACAAGCACGTGAGGAAACCCTGTACCGTGCGCACGCACGCACGCACGCACACACGCGCGCACGCGTGCGTGCGTGAGTCGAATTCATCTTATCGTAATAACTTTCAAACTATTCGTCCAATACCTAGTATAAAAGACAAAGGTTATCTGTATTAAATACTATCAATTTTTTAAGAATTTGACAGATATGCATTGTAAAAAAAGTATCCAATTCAACTGTATTTATGGCTCAGTGTTTTGCATATAGTGGCTACCACATAAGAGGTAGATATATGCTATGGTGAACTTTTATTTAGACCTATTCAAGACAAACAAATCATATGGTACATTATCTTCATGAAACTCCAATGGTATAGGCAGCGCACGCCAAGATAGCACTCAGGGAGCAAGAATATTTATGACTTACTTAATATTTATCGTTATATATGACCAAAATTACACAAAACATTTGTAAATTGTAGCCTATATGTTATTCTTATATATAAGTCGTATTTATGTGAAATTTCATCCTAATCCGGGTAATCGTTCAGGCCTGAAAGAGCCGCATACATACATAAATACATACATATATACGTACATACATACATACATACGTATATACACATACATACACATGTACACATACATACATACATTCATTTATCGATCCTCACAAACTTTCAGATCTGTAATATTAATATAGATCCGTAATCTCTGTATTTTTATATGAACATAGTAAATGAAGTCTTTTTTTAATATACGAGAGTGTCTTAAGATCAGATTTCTGATCATCTGATAATTTAGTATCTGTTCTCTATAAACGGCCTTATTGACAGTTAAATATTCCATTTTTTATCTTTACCCAATATGTATAAACTATAATATATGTTGCTATCTTCAGTCTAACAAATAAGTAAAGGTCATGTGTTCCTTTCGAACGAGTTCATTTAGCATAAAATAAAGAGGTGAACGATTTAATAATTATATTTCTTGTTATGTTCTCCCTGAATTACCCTACGGTTTTATTCGAAACCTTGCTTCTTCCTGTAGAGGGTTTGCTCCCACTAGAGTTGTTCAATCTTCCTTTACTTTCTTCTTCAACCGATTCCGTAAAATCCGTCTGCTCTGCACTTATTTTTCCTTTCGGAAATTCCTCTCCGTAGTATTCTTCCCCCCCACTGAATTCAATTTCATAATCTTCCTCGTCACTTTCGTCACTATCTGCAGTAGTATCTTCGGTTCCACTTTCGAAGGAAATCGGCATTGAACTCGTGGTTGTAGGAGTTAATGTTTTTGTTTTACTTTTTTCTGATGTGACCGAATTGTTATCGCTTGATTTGATGCTTGGGTTGCACGGATAAAAGCTCACATTCACAGTTTCTTTCAAGAGAGTGGGGAACCTATTCTTTTTCATTTCTTGGCATATGCATTTTTCAACACTATCAATATTTTCGCTGACTAGCAGAGTTTTATCTGAAGGATCCATTCCGTCGATGCATGCTTTGATTTCTTTGGGAACTTTGAACTGTTTATAACACCAGTTCAGCAGACACATTAGTATCAGAATTTTTGATGCAATTGTAACTGCAAAAATCTGAAATTGAAAAAAACTGTGTATCAGAAACTATTTGAAGATGAAAGGTTATTTGTTAAATCATCGTTCATGTTCATTCATCAATCAATATTAGTGGCAAATCCATAATTTTTCATGAAGGATGAAAACACTATTATGTTTTCTATGTATACTATGTATTTCAATGTAAAATTTCAATTAAATAAAATTATTTTCTTCGTGGAAATGAAATTTTCTGGGATTTCAATAAATGAGGTAACTGCATTGAAACTCACCGCTATAATAAGAGCAGTAGTTTTGATTTTACTCCTGTTGACACAATTCCATCCACCAGTTTCCACGTTGCACATATGATATAGCATTAAAGATGGCTCATAAATGTCATCATCATCAAGAGTTGTTTTCCAGTCATTTTGACATTGACATTCACCACCACTATCTAAATCTCCATGATGACAAACAACATTTATCTGAAACGATAGAAAATTATCTTGAAGATTAACACTTCATGTAACAATATTATACTGTTGATTGTTGTTTTCTCAAGTCAGCTGGTACCTATTACTCAGACTCGAATATTGTGAAAATGAGCACATTAAATAGAACCATACTACTTATAATGCACTGTTTTCGAACCTTTGGTGTAGTAATGAATATCAATGAAGTTTTTTCCCAAGAGTTTTAATCTTCCTCTTGAAGATGATTGAAACACGTGTCGAAGTGTTAAAAATAACGGTTTTGTGTTGGGATAATACTGCAGTAATATCCATAACCGTACTAACAACCAAAATGATAAGGCAGTTGTGTATAAAAAAAAAACGTTCTCTTTATACGCAACCTTATTTCACTTCTTGTATTTCGTTCACAACGTGGTGAAACCTCCAGTCTGTGACCTCACAGAGACAATTTTTGAATCTGTGAATTGATCTTACACATCATTAAAAAAAAACTGTTTTTTGAATATTCTAATTATTCTCACCATTCCTAGAGCATCAATATCGCCAGCATCAATCTGATTATTTTCCAAATACTCCAAATCAAACTTCGTTATAGAAGTATTCAGATTCATGCAAACATTATTAGTGCAAGAGTACGCCTAAAAAAAACAAACATAATTTTTTCATTATAAATTCGAAATTGAATAATTATACAATATCCGGCACTTTCATCTGTAGGTCATTCAAACAGAGAGGAGCACATTCGCATTCTTTAGTACTAGGGTTGAAGTAGCTTCTTTCTCCTGAGTATTTTATAACACAATCTTGAGGCCTACATTCCTGCAAAGGATCTGTATCCACTGTTGGACAAATATTTCGATCTGAAAAAATAACAGTAATAGCAAACCACTTCATAGAAGTTGATGAGCAGGAAAATCTGAAAATAGGTGAAAAGTCACATATGATTAGATCAAACACCAAGGGAATGAGACGGCTTTTGATTTCAAACCTCCAAATATCTTGAAACTTTTTTCGGTTATCAGTTATCTGAATTCTACGACCATACAACAGATTAAACTGAATTCCGTATGAATTATTGTTTGTATTCTTATTGGATACCAATAATGAAAACACTACGGCAACGCTTTCAAATCGTGATAATTGTTGGTAAACTATCGGAAAAACTACTTTCAAATTTTTCTAATTCCGTTCCTTTCACATATGGTAAACCTTCATCATACACTACATGTCTGATAAAAACTACGGGTCAATTTCTCTTTCTCTCTCTTTCTTACGGGTTATTCCAGTGAGTTTTTCAAATTTTATCGAATTTTTTCCATACTATAATAGTCATGAATAGTATCATAGTCATTTTTCTGAAACCTCGGAGACATAATCCATAATAACCTCTTTCATAGATTCGGTTGAGGTCAATTAAAAGTATTCTTCATTTATTATGATACTTTCAGTAATTTCCGATTTTTCTCCATAATGAAAATTTTTCAAACTTTATACTAGTGTTTACTTTTCATGAAGAATCCCTTATTAGTAAATATCCTACATCATCATAAGTAATGTGACAAGGTAAGAAAGAGAACACGGGATTTCTCAGATAATATTATATTTTTTGATATCTCTAATAGACCAGGGTCGATAATTTTTCAAAACCAAAAAAAATAACAGTAGGACGAATTCAATTAGAAAAAAAATCTGTTTAAACTCTGTTTTTCCGTTAATCAGCTGTCGCCCCCATACGAACGATAATTCTCAGAAGTTGAGAAACGTGTTCGAACTAAGGACTAACGAGGTCTTACCTTTTAACGTGTGATTCCTAACACGGTTAGGAGAAAAATATGATGAAAATGAAAGGAAAATTAAATTACGGGCGATCTGAGTTCGGGAAGTAGGAGGGGGTAATTTTTAAGGGTGAAAAATGGTATATCTCGATTTTCAGAAAAACTACAAGTCTCATGGAAAAAAGTTAAGGAGCAAAATTGTAGGTAATAAAATGATCTGCAACTTTTGTATTTATAATTTTTCCACATAACCCCAAAATTTATGTGAAAAATTTAAATGTTGTTGTTTTTTTATTTTTATATTTATCAAAAAAGTACGAAATTTTGTGGAAACACAAATACACTGTGATTCATTTGATTCAGAATATTTATTTTTTTCACCTCATTTTGACTTATTATCAAAAACGCATCAAAATTTTCAATCGAAAATTTCGCATCAAAATATCAGTTTTTTTTTAAGTCGGTGTGCTTTCTGTTTGTTAAAATATCTACTTCCTGATGGTGTAAAAAATGTATATTACTATAGTAAATGTTCTCAGAAAATACAAAATATCGAAAAAAAAACTCGAATTCGAAACTGTTTTTTAATCATTATGTACAATATCATCGAAAAAATGTGATTGCTGCAATTTTATTCAATTAAATAGTTTATTCATTAAATTCTAATTGCATTCATGTCATAGAAAATCTCATTAATCACTTATCCATTAGCTTTTTTCTCTTTGATGGTATTTCATCATCGTTAGATTTGACAAACCCTTCCAATTCTAGTTGATTTTTGAAATCTTCAAGACCATCACCTTTGTCTCCAATATAATCTCCAGTCTGCATTGATTCTCCATCCACAATTTCATCTGAATCATTAACTTTCTCGTAGGTTTTTTCTTCCATATTGTGCATTTAAACCATGTTTTCGACAGCTACATTTTAAACTGTTACATTCAGTTTCACAGCTGCAGCAAATAGTTTTAAGCAATACTTCCGGAATTAATTCATTTTCTGTAAATTCGGGCATATTGCCACGTTGATGTTGCTTCTAGTTCCAATCAGTTGCTATCAGTTCGTTACCCAACCAAGTTTGAAGCTGATAATATGCCCTGCAACAATGTTGTTCTGCTGCTCCTTCTGTAGGTGGGATATTTGCCAAAATGAAAGACGATTTGATTTTTGCCAATTGATATTTTTGAAATCTTAATTGATTCAGTGTTATTTTTCCATTTTCTTACTTATAAATAGATTTCATCGATGTAATCAATTTTTTTATATCTTTTTCACTTGCATCTTTCTTATCGAATTTGACAAATTTTTAGCGTCTACAATAGCGGCAACAATATTTTTGAAGGATTGATGTTTGAAACTATTAGACGTGATCATTTACATTTCCAGAACGTGGTTTGAGAAAATAAATGTCAAGCTTATTTGAATTCAATTGATATAAAAGGAAATCAAATTATTTATGAACAATTCGTTCACGCCAGTCTCAACTCCCTACACAGTAGGTTAATGGACTGACACCTAACAGAAAACAACTACTCCCCTGGCTAATACCACGAAGGGCGTTGGATTATATCCGACAGGTGTCAGTGCAGAATTCTTAACAGAAGTTATTCCTGCATATGCTGTTGGCGATACAACTGTCACAATAGATTTTCAATTATTGGAACACACTTGCAGACCGGTTTCGTGCTATTTGGCCACTCGTCAGTGCAAGGTAGTGTATATCATCAACGTAAAGTCAATGATTTCCGATAATTGAAAATCGAATTCCGTCAGAGTATCATTCCTCGAACTAAGCTGAAGCATACAACAAACAATAGGTTTGTCGTCGCCCCATCTGCCTGTGTAGGGAGTTGAGACAACATCCCTACTGTGTATGGAGTTGTGACTGGCGTGAACGAATTGTTCACAGATAATTTGATTTATAGCCACTCTTCAAGTATGCCCACTACTCTATATGTGAAAGTTTTCTTTCCTTATAAGAGGAATTGGGCAAATTTCGGATATGCAATTGGTTACCTCGTTCCGCCGCCGATATTTTGATGGGAAAATTTTCGATTGAAAATTAGGGTGCTTTTTTGATATTAAGTCAAAATAAGGTGAATAAATAAATATTTCAAATCAAATGAATTACAGTGTATTTGAGACATGAAAAGGCAAGTTTTCACCAAATTTCGTAGATTTTTTTTTTGAAAAAAAAAACCAAAAACTTGTTTATTTCAATCATTAAACATTTCCTTGAAGATAATTTTAGAGGTACCAGAATACGTTTTTATGGGTTCCAATGCATTCTATAGATAATTCAGATGTCAATGGTTCAGTTCCCGACAATATCTTATAGAAAACTATAAGAGAAATATTTCAAGTTCCAATCATAGATAAAAAATATTTTCATATCAAATCGACACAAACATATCTGCTCCAATAGGACTGTCTAACATGTATGTTTATGTTTATAACATAGACATGACCTCACTGATTAATATCTGCTCCATCTGCCGGATGTTTATGATTATAGAGTGACAATACTATATTCTCGAAATTCATTACGATCATCTAGTTGGACATCATGACGACTTGAAATGACCACAAATGCTAAAAATATTTGGAGAGTACCCGTAACTACTTGTGATAAACAAACACAATTCTGGAGAGGAATATTCAATAACAGAAGTCCAACAAAAATTGTGATAAATCACACTCCTAATGTTGAATCGAACGTAAATTCAATAGAATTGGCCGAAACCTGATAAAAATCTATTCAAGTGTTACTATCTTCATTCGGGTTTGAAGGATGTCGTAGTTTGGAATCATAACGTTTCGTCAGCACAAGTGTCTGGCTTCTTCAGATGTTTATTCATCTTGATGATTCACCGATGACTGGTGATATCTAGTTTGTAGGTTGTATTTTTGTTGACTCAGGTAGTTCGCCTCTCTTGTTGATACGTTACTATTGGCCGAAATGTTATTACGTAACACAGCGTTGCGCAATGCAATGTTACGTCATTAACAATAGCAATGCATCAACAAGAGAGGCGGACTACCTGAGTCAACATAAATACAACCTACGAACTAGAAATTTTTTGTTTTTATTCATTTCATTAAAGTGATCATGAATTAGCACAAAATACATAAGTCATCAATAACACATATTTGAACTAGAAATCACCAGTCATCGGTGAATCATCAAGATGAATAAACCTCTGAAGAAGCCAGCCAGTCCGGCTGGCGAAACGTTAGGATGCAGTTCCAAAAACCGCAACACGTCTTCCGCCAGCTTTTTCCTTGAATAGGAAGGAAGCACACATCTTCGAAAATCAACTACAACGAAATCCAATCAAGTAAAATAATGACTAACTACCTATAAGAGTTCCAGAAATTGATCTACATAGAAGAAATTGATGAATAAGAATGAACATACTTGGGTTTTGAAAATTATGTTTCGCACATTGTTATTACCCTACATGACGTTAAATTGAAACCTTTCACTTCAATACCTTCTCAAAAACAATAACAGGTTGGAGAGATTTAAATCCGGACTGGTAAGCCGTGGACGAATGGAATCTGAAATACTAAACGGTCTCATCTGCAGAAGCAGACAAAACATTTGGTACTAGAAGTTTCGTTTGACCACGGCCTACCAGCCCAGATTTAGATCTCTCTAATTGTGACTACGTATGTGAAAACTTATGTTATGTTTGTAATTAAGACTGTTAACTTGGCGGATGTTTCATGAATGTCATGGATATTATAAGCAGTGTTATTCCAGGCGTTACTTCAGTAACAAAATGTAACTTTTTGGCGTTTAGAATTACCAAATTATATTCTCACCTAATTTGTTGCATCCTGAGAAAATTTCAACGGTCAATTTACGCATCAGAACTGACAAGTGACACATAAAAACTGTTAGTTAACCTGTCGTTTGTAATTTAATGAACTGAGGTATCCAAGCGGACGATTGAAGAACATTTTCACACGTCTCCTGTCACTTTTGAAACGTCATCTGTCACTTTTCACCAACCTCTCGACGCAAAATGCTGCGCTTTGTGTGCGACTCATTCAAAAGTAACAAGTTTTCATCGATGGCTTCACTCACTGACATAATATGTCACAAATAATCTTATAGCAGAAAAAACAACAATAATTATAAGCATAGGCGTTTTTTTTTTCAAAAATTTGTTAGCGTTATTTGATATGTACATATCAATCCAAGATCCCAGAGCGATCAGACATAACTTATTTTCACAAAGATGAAGCCTCAGGTTCCCAGTAGCGTCTCATGTTCTTTGAATACCTGTGTGCTTGTGGAGCTCGCCTTATGACACCTGGGCAGGTACCAGGTAAGAAAGGTAACAAAAAATAAGAGGTACTCATCCTGAATTTACAGGGCTGATTTTTATGTGTCTTGTAGAATATTATTCTAAAATAGTATCATCAGTGTCAAACACTTTCCTTGAACCAAAACTTTCATCATACGCTTGAAGCTTCACAAGAAATAAATGAACTTTACTTATTTTCACATGTCTGATTTTTCAATATGTTATTGAGGTAACTACTACAAAGTTATATTCCATCAGACAGGCAAATTGTAGCGACCAAACATCCCCTAAACACAGCGCAAGAGCACTATGCGCATGCATCTGAGAGTAAAATATTCAAATATTTCTGCAGTACTTACTGCTTTCGATTCGAAATTTTTGCATCTCTATTCAAATAAGATGAACTTCAGCATCGAAGTAATCATTAATATTTAAGTGAATTAATTCATTGCATATATTCGGGAAAATAAATTTATTCGGCGCAATTTGGTTTTATGAAGTATTATTTTCATTTTAGCATAAAAAGATACCAGTTGAAACAATTGGAACAAAAATCATTTTTTAAAAAATATTTAACTATGATTAAGTAAAGAAAGTATTTGTTTATCTTTTAATTATCGTAATCGTCGTCATAATCATGGGAATTTTGATCATTAGCCCAATCATGATATTGTCCATTCGAGTCATCATCCTTCTCATCATCAGGTATGTTGTCGTTGGTGGCAGCTTTTTCTTTAAAAAATCAAAAAATTATGAAACATGAAACTTCAAATATAAAGACTTTCAAACTTGAAGTCAAAGTATAGCAGCTGATTCTTGAAGGGATTCAACGTCTCCTGGTAAATAGTCAACATCAAAGCAATGAAAATGATATTGATTTTCTTCTAAAGTCTACCTATTGTTTTCAAAAGTTGAAATGGTAGGTTACTTTTGATTTGCATCGTTCCGATTGCTAGCAATGTAATTATCTCGAAAAAATTGTTTAAATAACAAAAACTTGCACGATGGTGAACTGCTGACATGAAATTTTTTACAGTTTTTGGAGTGAATTCTTGGAATATAAGATACCCTGTAATTATTTAAAAATAACTGAAATCGGGCAGCATCAACGACGAGTATGCCAGGAACACTATAAATTTCACAGATAAATTTTTATATTCAATTGAAAATGTCTTCTTGTATACGCTCATCGGTAAACGGCTCTGGATATCCAAATTGCATAAAAGCTTGCTGATATTCATATTTCTTCATTGATATATTAAATGGTCTTTGTTTACCTTTCTTAAAAAAGACGGAAAAAAGTCACATCCAGTCAATGCATGGAATCCTGGCAAACCTCAATACAAAGATGGTCCCAAGTGCTCTTAAACTTTTGTTAAATTAATGTATCTTTGGTTATTTCCGGTGCCTGTATGGGTATAGTGCTCTCGCGTTGAATAATTTTTGTATTTAAGGAATGATCGGTCACTACAATTTATCTGACTGACTAAATAGTTACCTTCATAGCATATTTAAAAGACAGACGTCAAAATAAGTAGATGTCATTTATTTTTTGTGTAATTTTGAAGCGTCTAACAAAAGTTTTGGTACATGGAAAATGTCTGACACTTATAATACTGTTTTTGAATAATATCCTGCAAAACATATATAAAAATTAGCCACATAAATTTAAGTTGAGTAACTTTTATTTTTAGTCACCTTTCTCACCTGGTACCTACCGAGGTGTCAAGGCGAATTCTATAAGCACGCAGGTATTCAAAGAACATATGACGCTACTGAGAACGTGAGGTTTCATCTATGTGAAAATAAGTTTTGTCTGATCGCTCTGGGATCTTAGTCCTATATAAGTTGTACTGACGGGGTGAGGTTCAAACTTTAAGTTGCTGTACTTTTGGGAGAGACTTTTGAATTTTGCTCACGTATTCTTAAATATAAAAGCCCTTTCGAAAATGAGGAACCCGAATATTTTAATCCATCCTGCAGTATGGCATACATGTCAACTCCATTTCCAAAACTACTCCAAAAAACTTCATAATTTGATAACTAACCTTCAGTTGTGGCATTAGTTTTAAATTCTATGACTTTAGTCAGTACTTTCTCATATTTTTCACTCCTGTATTTTACGGCAACAGTACAAGTTCCCTGGCGATACAGAAGGTACTGGAAAAAAGTAATTATATAATGTTGTTTTCAATATGCTTCATCAGTTACCAAATTGGGATATATAAGTGTCACATTTTTTGTATATTTCTTATATAATATTCCCATGTGACCTCCGATCAGAAGCATTTTACAATCGTTTTGATTTTCTTTCGATTGTTCGCAACATTCCTCCATATGTACCGATATTTCCAAATCTTTGTCACATTTACTCCCAATCGTAAGATCTGAAAAAATCGAATGACACAAAACCGTAAAGAACTGATTTTGTATTCTCACAAAAAATCATGGCAATATCACCTTCACTAACCGGAACAATTCCTGCATCCTGAAATTGAATTCAAATAGACAGTTTTATCAATGAAGTATATTATTTTACCTTTATTTCTATATCAGATCGGCACAATATAGAAAAAGTTAATATTGATATTAAATAGAAGAGCATGAATAACTGAGTTTTGACATAACTTATCAATAAGTGACATATCTTTGGGCACACGTCATTAGCGGCATTACTGAGAACATGATATGTGTATAGTATGTTACAAAAATCCAACGTTTAGAAGTACTTTAGCTGAATTTCATTTAAAACATTGATTTTTTTATGTTTTCACTCTCAGACTACGACTCCGAAAATATGTTATTTTTGAAGCGTGTTTTTTTTCACGTGTTTCTAACGAAATTTTAATTTATTGAAAATTAAACATCGGCATGACTTCATGGTTCTTTGATTGTCTACGTTTCATGATAGAGTTAAGTGATAAATGGGTGAAGGGGGCAAATGTTTTACCATAGCTTCTACACAAAAAAGTATTTACGTAAGGTAGGAACTTAAAGTTTATTGGTGATTTTGTTGCCCATTCAGTTTGTTATTAAAAATACCTTCTAATTTGAATGTTGTTTTTTATTTTGAGTTCACAAGAGGCTCTCTGCAGTATTTCAAAAAAGAATTTTGGAATTTAGCCTGTGATGAAGCGGTTTTCTTGTAGTTTTTGAAGTCATTCATCACAATTATGCAGTTTTTGGCTTGATTGTTATGCCTTCTGACATTTCATCACCAAAATATTCAGTCGATGTTTTCAATTTAGAATTGAAATCTTAGATCATTGTCGAATAATCGAAAAATTAATATCTTGTACAATTTTTTTCTTACCTTTTAGTATATTTGTCCTTCAAATGACCATATAAGGTAAACTTTAGAATCAATGGTCATATCCGGTCGTAATTCTTCTTCATCCTTTGATTGATCTGCAAAGTATTGATCAAGGTTGAATCAATATTTGCTTCTGTCTACTGCTCCAAACTTTTGAATAATTGAGTGGTACCGGGGCCTTTGGGTACATACTTTTTTGAAAATTTTAGGTTTATTCGCCTTTCTGATATATTAGAAATGGAACGATCATGGCTTGGCCCCCCTATGGTTTTGATCCTAAGTACGCCCCTGCCTCATGCTGATTTTAAGTATACCAAATAGTCAACTAATATTGAACACGACTAAGGAAGATCTTGTAAAATGAATCATGTGTTGCAGTTTTGTAATTATGAGATGATAATTTCGTAAACTATGTTGATCAGTATGGTTACCGTTACCAACCTTGAGGTTGGCGTTATTCCTGAAGTTTTTTTTGGTGCTCTGTAGTTCTCGATCGAGTTGAGACGTTTGCGTTGCTGTTAATTTCTCCTGGTCTGTATCTTATACTGAAACTATTCCTTCAGAACCATAGCCCCATTTTGCTAGTTTTGTAGTCTTCATCAGTTAACAGATAGACTAATAGTAGATGATCAGAATATGTAAAATAGCTGCCTACGATATTTTTTGATAATCCAATCTACATCCAAACAGTCTCGCTCATAAGTAAAATATTTTTGTTCTGCTTAATTCAGAGGACGACTACTATAACGAACTGGATATTTTATCATATATCTGGCTCATTCAAATTGTATCTGTGGTCACAATAAAATTAATTCCACATTTTACAGTTCTAGTTTCTGGGTAATGTTCAATTGCTTGTCTTTTCAGGCGCTTGAAGCACTTTGAAATCGATGCCTGTGCGAAAATAACAATTCACGTTTTTTTTTATATGTACCGCTCTTGGTGGAATCAAATGTGCAAAGTCACTCAAACACCTCCCGTGAAATTATATATTAAAGAGAGACAAATCTCCAACCTTTCTTCGATGTTCCAGACTATCAAGGTTGCAAGTGATGTTCGTGTCTCCAATCAGGCGAGTGGCTCTTTTCTGGATATAATCCAGCGGCTTAAGGGTATGCTTAGGGGCGGAGCTCCATCAAAAGCATCAAAAGTTGCTGAGGTGTGTACAGTTTTCCAGTTCGAAAAAGTATTTCGAGCTTTTGAGAAGCAGACTTTCCAATTCCAGCAACATGATTGTGCCAAGACATATTTGTGTCCATTTTAAACCCCAACAAAGTTATCGATGCAGAAAGCGGAATTATCTGTCCTGACAATTATCCAGTTCGGACACATTCATCTTCTTGGAGAAAACCGATGACTTGGTTTTTGTGGCATTGAATTGAACCTGGTTATTTTCACCCCAATTCGAAATCACTTCTAGATCCTCATTAGGATATGTAACCTCCTGCTGCTGGTGAAGATGTACCTCCGTAGCCGATGTCCTGGAATCCAAATGGAATGAAGAAACAAGTATGATGTCAGCAAAGCAATATATTGGATTCCTGAAGATAAATCGTTATAAATAGTCTCTCTTGAGGAAGTAGATATCTACACAATGGTTGATACTGTTATAATCTGGCAACCGATTAGCATAAGGCTGCTTTTTCTCGAGACGACGTACCCAACAATTATGTATTTTGTGTATTGCCTATTTCGAAATAATGTGACCTGCGTCTTTAATTTTTGTAACCATTACGTACATTTGTAACAAATGAAAGACTAATGAAACCAATAAAACTTTATTATAATTTACTATATTTACGAAATATAGAAACATGCTCGAACCATATCAAAACCGCTTTTATATTCAATTAGTTGTAATGAGTTCCGAATCATTATCTAGTTTCACACAGTCGCCATTTTTTCCTCGTTTGATAATATGTGGAATCATTTTGGGAACCATTCTGAAATTAATATGGAATAAATATAGAAGTTATTGTGAATTTCTACGAAGATATCTTACGTAATACAATCGATCACAGGACACACAGACATACACAGGGTACATCCTGTACAATCATCGTTAACTTTTGGGATGTGAGTTTCTGGATCAAAGTGTATGGCTTGGTATCCGGAATCATTACAGGCCATGTAACATTTTCCACAATTTATACACATATCCTAGAAAAACATTAATTTTTATCAATTCATATTTTTTTTTTCATTGATACAACTATACGTATACAAAATTTTCGAAAAGATTACTCATAGGTATCAGATGTCAACAAGCGATAAAATGATAACATCGATTTCTAATAACTAAATAATACACACACTGTAATTATAAAAGTTGATCAGTAGAAATTCAATGAAATCAGACAGTTTTTAAATTGCCCAGTCAATACAGGTGTCACCTGTCGTTTATTTTTTAGTATCCACGTTATTGGCGTGGTTATCATGTAGTAGAATCAATCCACTTACAAATTGATAAATGCTCACGAGAAAACTATCTAACAGAAATTGAAATCATTCTGATGACTGTGTCGAGGAAAAATGAATACATATTGAGGAAATGAGATGAAATTCGAGATAAATAAAATGTAGGGTCTTTTCAGGAGGCGCTTCCTATCTTTTCAAACTGTGTGTGAGATACATTGAAATGTTTTATTCGTTCGAAAAACCTATTGATATCATTATGTTTAGAATAGATCATGTTAGCTTTTTGGACCGCTGTGGTTAACCGATGACCGCCAGCCCTAAATCTATACCATAAATCCGGAATGCATTGGACGCTCTCGGTCTTTTGGGTATGGGCCCAAATTCGACAATTTTGTTTGTTCACGCACACATTCATCCAGAAATAGGCCTCATCGCTGAAGATGATTTTTCGATTGAAATTAGGCTCAGTTGGCAACTGCTCCAGAGCCCATTCAACAAACACACGTCGTTGTCTATGGTTCTCCTCAGTTCAGATCAGAATGATACTTATTCATTTATCTTTTGATTTTCATAGAATTATTTTCCAGCAGTTCGACTGCATTAACCCTTCTCGATTCCATATAATTTCTAGAAACATGTGGATTCGTTTTTCGATGACATTCCAGGTTAGCTTCCCAAATTTCTGCCACCGCAGTTGTCGGTTTATTGGTCAAACCATCAACACTGATATAAAATCTTGGTAAGTATCGCTTGCGTGTTCGCAGTTATTTCTATTAAGTACTTTTCTTAGTTTTTCACATTTTGTCTTCAATCGAGGACCGCTTTCTCAGCACTGACGATGCCCAATAGGCTGAAACAGCTGTATACCGGTGGCTCTTAAATTGAAATCAATATGGGAATGATCAGAATGGTACTTATTTATTGATTTTTGATTTTCATGGAATTATTTTCCAGCAGCTTGACTGCATTAACCTTTCTAGATTTCATATCATTTCTAGAAACATGTGGATTCGTTTTCCGATGGCATTT